TCAGCAGAGATGCTTAGGGGTTCCCGGTTGTGCAAGGAAAGGGGTGCAGCTACCTCTAAGAAGAGGTTTCAATGGGTCACATCTGGACAAAAGCAGGATCAAGTCAAGTGGGGCTAAAGCCACGAGGGAGCTGTCCATTGAATGGTTTGAGACTCGAGTTGAAGGTGGTGATCAAGTCCTTCATTCTGAAGCTAGGCAACAGCCCCCCTGCAGATGCTGAAAAACGCAGATTGTATAAAACACTATTATAATAGCAAATGCTATACATAGTGTGGTCTCCGGCTCCTTCTAGTGGCCAGTTCTGGTAATGACATCGTGAAAATATATTTCTCTAGTGAATGTGATACATAGCATGTTCTCTGGCTCCTTCTAGTGGCCATTTCTGTTAACTTCATCATTAGAAATATATATCTATGGGAATATTTTTTTAATTTTTTTCTATTTTCAGACAGTGGATAAGTGAATCAGTGGATACTGAGCCCATGGATTTCGGGGTTCTACCTTGCTATCAACAAGTAGGCCATAACATGAGATCCAAATTGAAGGAGATGTTGAACCACAACAGCCAGACAACAAATGTGGATTGAAGTTGTTAAAATAGCAAAAACCAGGGAATAGACTCTCACTAAGCTGAAGAAGACATTTTAGCAGGAACCACAACACCAAAGAATTAAACTAAAGCTGAAGTTAAGGGAAAAACCCAGAAATATGTATTTATGTGTTTCCAATGTTTATTACCAGAACAGACCACTAGAGGCAACCTGAGACTATGTTACATGTAGGGTTTGCTCTTATCCGCTGTTTCTAGTATCCGCATGAGGGATTGGCACTGATCCCCCATGACTAATGTGATCCTATTGTCATTTTAAAGATAAATGAACAGAATAGACTGTAGATTATGCATATATTAATATGTGTTTTCAGATACTCACGGAATGGACCTGTTTGCTGTGGCAGTCCATGAGTTTGGCCACGCCATTGGCTTAACCCACATCTCTGCCATTGAGTCTATCATGAGGCCGTACTATCAAGGCCCTGTTGGGGATCCCCTAAAATATGACCTGCCTTATGAAGACAAAGTCCGGATATGGCAGCTGTACGGTGAGCTGGTGTCCGTTTGCACCCCAGTTGATGTAGTTCTTCCACATTCGCATTTTGCAGAGACCATTTGTGTGAATGGTGGAGATCTTGATCAGGAAAAGTGTTCCTTGTCTCACGGTCTCCTGAAATTTCTTTAAAATTTCTCATAACTCAGGGCTAGCCTAGAGAGGTAGGATACAAAGGACTTGGTTCACGGAGGTATACATCTGAGTCTTCTTGAGTATGTTCCAAATCCTTTCTCCAGACACACCACAGCTCCTGTAGACCTTCTCAAGCAAAGCACCAAAATTCGGATATTCCTTCCTGCCCAGGGGGAGCCAGTGTCTAACCTGGAAAGGGAATCAGTCTTCAGGAGAAAGACAGCAGTGTTGTATTGAGTCAATCGCTATCACATAGTGCTAGCAATTTATGACACATGGCTACCCTGTTTCCCCAAAAATAAGACCTAACCTGAAAATAAGCCCTAGTGTGATTTTTTTTCAGGATGCTTGTAATATAAGCCCTAGCCCAAAAATGAGCCCCAGTTAATTCAAACTCTGTTGTGCAGCAATCAGAAGAAGATGGCATGCCTGTATTTGAATAAATTAGATGGTTGTACATTAAAAAAAAATATGCCCTGAAAATAAGCCCTAATTCGTTCTTTTGGTGCAAAAATTAATATAAGACCCTGTCTTATTTTTGGGGAAACACAGTAATTTCTGACACATTACTAAGAAACTGTAATGATGCAAGGCAGCAGTTTTCAGTTCAGGACATAAGAGTTCTGAGCACCACATACCTGGGACCCGCAGGCACCTATCCAGTTGGTGGGAAATAAATCAGGTGATGTCAGGATTATGACTGACTGAGAAGCGAAGTCTTTTGTGAAATTGCATGGGATCGGCATACTGGAATCACTTGAATCTCTGCTGATGTTATCTCTGCTTAGCAGGTGTATAACAAGAAGGGGCAAATCCTCCACCTCTTCTCTAATCCCTCCTTGACTCTCCATGCAGGGGTTCGGGAGTCCGTGTCTCCAACGGCCAAGCCTGAAACTTCAAAAGCAGACGAGCACCCCCTGCTGCCCGATTTGCCAGAAAATCGCTCATCAGTCCCGTAAGTTGAAATTGGACCTCCACATGACGTGTCCATGTCTTTCCATGGAGACTGGAAATAATATAGCATGCAGAAATGGTTTTCTTAAATCAGATTTTGGGTTTGAAATGTGGAATGGAATCTTTCTATTTATTTATTTATTTATTGGTTGGTTGGTTGGTTCGTTCGTTCGTTCGTTCGTTCGTTCGTTCGTTCGTTCGTTCGTTCGTTCGTTCGTTCGTTCGTTCGTTCGTTCGTTCGTTCGTTCGTTCGTTCGTTCGTTCGTTCGTTCGTTCGTTCGTTCGTTCGTTCGTTCGTTCGTTCGTTCGTTCGTTCGTTCGTTCGTTCGTTCGTTCGTTCGTTCGTTGGTTCGTTGGTTCATTTGTTTGTTCTTTTGTTCGTTGGTTCATTCATTCGTTGGTTCATTGGTTCATTGGTTCGTTCATTCGTTCGTTCGTTCATTCATTTGCTGGCTGGTTGGCTGGCTGTGGTTCGTTGGTTCGTTGGTTCGTTCGTTCATTGTTTCATTGGTTAATTAGTTCGTTCATTTGTTCGTTCGTTTGCTGGCTGGTTGGCTGGCTGCAGTATTGGAGCACTCTCCACCTCTCGAGGTAATCAATTCCACTGCCATTAACTTCAAATTCCCCAGAATAGTCCACCCCTTTTTCTCGTCAGCTGGTCCTCACATTCTCAATAACTCATTCTGGGACATCAGTTGGGGAAAGAATCAAAAGGTGTTATTGATGTACAGTTGGACAGATAAAACAGCAAAGTGACAAACATGACTGCTTTTAGCAACAGGCTTCAACAGACTTATTGACTTCCAACAGACAACTGGGGAGGGGGGCTCAGAGCAGAGAGGCGGGGCTCTCTTTGGGAAGGAACAATTGGTTAGTGCTGGACAGATTGACCGTCACTCCAGCCCAGAAATGTCCCTCTCAGCCACTCCTACTAGAGGCAGCCTGCGAGTTTGCCAAAACTCCCACACAGCCTGCAGCAGATGCGCTGGCTAGTGTTTCCGAGAGCTAACGTCCAAAAGCATTTAAAGACCCAAGGTTGAGAGCTATAGGCTGAGATCCTGCTGCTTAGCATAGTACGTTGCAACTAGATTCGGCCCACTGAATCAATAAAAGCATTTAAAGACCCAAGGTTGAGAGCCATAGGCTGAGATCCTGCTGCTTAGCAACTAGATTCGGCCCACTGAATCAACGGGGGCTTGGTGAAACGACTCTTCCGTAAGTCCCATTGATTCAATGAGTCTACTCCAGTTGTGACTTAATCTACAAAGCAACTGCATGTCAGCTGTTGGGTTTAACCACGGATGGTTGACCTCTTTGGCTGCAAGAGCTACTCTCCTCCCTAGCAGGGGTCTTTTTTAAAATAGCCAGCCCTGCGTACAGTGGTGCCTCGCTTGACAACGTTAATTCGTTCCAGCGAAATCGCTGTAGAGCGAAAACGGCGTCAAACGAAATTTAAAAACCCATTGAAACGCATTGAAAACCATTCAATGTGTTCCAATGGGCTGAATATCTGCTCGTCCAGCGAAGATCCTCCATACGGCGGCCATTTTCGGTGCCTGTAAAGCGAGAAATCCGTCCTAGAAAACAGTGGGGGGGGTTTCCTTCTGCCAGTGGCCATTTTGAAACCCGACAATCAGCTGTTTGCTGATCATCGTAAAGCAAAAATCAGTTCCCGAAGCAGGGAACCGATCATCGCACAGCTAAAAAAACCCATTTAAAACATCATTTTGCGATCGAACATCAACGTAAAGCAGATTCGTCGTAGAGCGGGGTAATCGTCCAGCGGGGCACGACTGTATTTTGATCTTCTTGCTTCCTGGCTCCCAGAGAGGTATCTACATTTGCAGTTGCTCGCACATCGCTCTTCAGAGGATGCGCTTCACCGGGTGTCCTTCAAGAGATGGGGGGGGAACTTTGGCACCTTCTCAGTGCCCTCCTGTCACCTTGTGTCACAGCAGCTGACTGGAAACGAGAGAAGAAAGCTCATGCACAGTCACCCTCGGGCAAAATCACCCGGGATGTCATATTCATTGGATTGTTCTTCCTTTCCGCGGCTGCTCGCTCATGGTTGTGAGGCAGAGAATGCCAGGGTGGCCATTTGAGAGCAGAATGGAGAAGTGGGGGCACAATCCAGCTTTTCTGGTCCCTGGCAAGCCAAACTCAACTTTGCGGTCACCTTGTGAGCAAATCTCCAGAGAGGAAAGTGGGAGTTTGCGGAACCAAAGGCCTATAATTGCTTCTTTTCCTTGTGGGATCCCTCAGGGGGAGATTTAAGCACCCCCCCCCGGAAGGAGGTTTTGGTAAACAGCATCCAAAGGTTGGGGGAAGGTCACTTTTGGAGAACGGAAGTCCCAGGAGCCTCATCCTCATCTTAGAACTTCAGAGGCGGAAGGGACCCTATGGATCATTCAGTGCCACCCTGGGCAAGGTCAGCCGGTGGCTGGGCTGGCTAGGGGATTATGGGAACTGTAGTATGCGAACTTTGTCAAACTCTGGAAGTCCATGTGCAGGCATGGAATCAGACCAGTTTCCTCCCAGAATTGTTTAATTTACAGAAAAATAAATATAAACAGCTCGTGGCAAGGATCCCTGCTAAGACAGAGGGAGGAGTGACACAAACAACCTCCCTTGGGAACCAGTTGTGTAGTGTACACAAGACTTGCAGGATTGAAGTCCTGGGATTTTTTGAGGAGCAGCAACATTGATATCCTCCTCCTCTTCTCTCAGGCTTCTTTTTTCCACTTTGAGCTTAACTGCAACTTTCATAGTAGCCTAGTTATCATACAACACATTCAAGGATGATATAGTGCTGAGTTGGCAACCAAGAGCCGTTAGCTCCCTAAAAGACCCGCTCCTCATTTGTTAAGGCCCTGAATTTTTGGACCCTCTTGCTGGGGTGGGGGGAGGAATCACAGAAAGTGTCACAACGAGTACCTGCCCGGAAAATCCTACCTCTACATAACTACTCATAGCACAGTGTGCTTTGCGTCAAAAGTGGCAAATCCTTTCAAGGGCATTGGGCCACAACCCCCGAAGTGGGGCTGATGGAAGCTGTAGTCCCAAACATCTAGAAAGCAAAAGATTTCCTGGTCCTTCTGTATCAATGGGTGATATCAACAGGCCATGTTTGAAACCTAAGTCTGCCTTCTGTCTGGAGAAATGGGTTCCCCCTCTCGTTCAGCTTTGTCTGATCCAATGGGGCAATGGAGACCGAGGTCTAAAAGTCAAAACAGCAGTATGGTTTGGTTTAGCAAGTATGAGAGTATGAGCTGAAGACCTAATGTCTGGACCAGACTGAATTGTGGCCCATGCTGCTCTTAGAGACTCAAAGTTCTATGAGTAGAATGAAGCTATAGCCTTACACATTTTGGTACTGTATGTATCGTGCTGTAGCTTGGGTGGATCCCAAGATTCTTTTATAAAAGAATTCCACTACCCTAAGAATGGCCACCATAACCATGTGGAGGAGACCTGCCCCTTGTTCTTCGCAGTATTTAACTAAAGGTTCCCCCTTGACAATTCAGTCCAATCATTGTCCGACTCGAGGGCCCAGTGCTCATCCTTGTTTGTCAGCTGAAGAGCCGATGTTTATCTGTAAACACTTTCCGTGATCATGTGGCTGGCATGACTAGGCATGGAACGGTGTCACCTTTCCACCAAGGGGGGTACCCATTCATCTACTTGCATTTGCATGCTTTCAAACTGCTAGGTTGGCAGGAGCTGAGATAAGCAAAGGGAGCTCACCCCGTCATGCAGATTTGAACCACCGGCCTTTTGATCGACAGCCCGGTGGCTCAACTATTTGACACATAGCGCCACCCATGTCCCACCTTAGTAGAGTTTAAGACTTTGTAAAAACAAAGGGTTCCTATAGGAAAAACAAAGCTATGCTGTGCTGCCTAATTGGACAGTGTCTGTGACCTCACCGATTCAAATGCATGCACCAGTGGGGGTTGACCTTGTTTTCTCTCCCCCAGGCTCAGAAGAGACGTGCCGAACAGATGCAACACTCACTTTGATGCAGTGGCTCAGATCCGAGGGGAGGCTTTCTTTTTCAAAGGTGCGTAATGAAAGCTGCTGCATTGTTTCACGGACCTCTACAGATCTGAAGCCTCGGATGGGTTTTTTGTATCTTTCAAAACCATCGAATAGACGTTTTATGTATAGGGGTGTGTGGCTCATCCCCACATGCCTATTTTCAAAACTGGGCAATTTGGCAATTTGGAATATTGCACTCATGGTCCACATTTGGCTAGGGGAAGTGGATCCATGGTGTTCATTAGGAGCTCTTTGGATTTTCAAGGCAGATTTTTACTAGGTTTGGCTTGAAGATGGCAGGCACAAAGGGTAAGTGATTCCAATTGTGCAGAAATCCACTCTGGGTTTTTGCCCAAACTTTATAGGAGATGCAGAAAGTCCTGAAGCCTATCCCTCAAATGCATTCAGCACCTCGGAGAGCTGCTTTGAAGTTCGGAGATGGAAGCCCGGCACGGACCTGTGACCCCCCCCCTTGCCCCACTACCTCAGAATGGCTAGGCTGCACATATGCTCTACACCCAAGCTACACATCTCCCCGATTTTTGACAGCCATAACAAATTAGGTTGGAGGCTCTTTGAACTTTGGGTTTCTAATTCCATTGAGGAGAAGAAACGATTTGGTGGAGCTATATTTCTTCCAGAAATATTCCGGCAGCCTGGCCTTTCCTCGTAATAAGGTTCATTAGAGATGCAAGGGGGAGTCTTTATTTAAAGGTGTATGTGCCCCATAAACACGCCGAGGGAACCAAAACTGGATACCAAGGCTTCCCCCACCCCAAATCTATATCTCTTATTTTTAAACAATGCATCTACACATTTCTAATTGCAGTAACCCGGACGGCAGGCTCTGATGTATTATTCATGCCTCACTTTGTGTCATATAGAGCAAATATTCAAAGTGGCTCATAATGACAGTGCTGGGATATAAATCCTGATAATTGTGATTTCAAGGGAGGGGAGGGGGCGATCCAGAACCGCCCTGCAGATGTTTTAGGGCGGGACATTTTGCCTCCTGTATTATCAGGCGGGCATCCAATTCCCATTAAGGTCTGGAAAGACGAGGTCGCCAGCTGTCAGAGCGGGAGTTGCAAACGCAGCCGCGAGGCCGGAATACAAATGCAGAGAGCTAGGATCAAGGAAACAGACCGTTTTTCTCTTAAGTACCCCATATTTTCTTGAGCAATCGTCCTCCCGTTCTACCAAATGCTTCTATGTTTCATCCCGTTGAAAGAAGTTGGCAGACAGACTTGATGCAAAGGTCTCTATGCCCAGGCTGAAGTCCTACAGTCTCTAGGAGAGGGTGTCCCAGAGTATAGAGTGTTTAGGATTTCCTCCTCTGAGTTTGAAAATGTTGCAGAGATTTGAATCTGGGTTATATTCCTCTAGCTGCACAGCATAAGTGCAGGGACTGGAGTTTGAAAATGTTGCAGAGATTTGAATCTGGGTTATATTCCTCTAGCTGCACAGCGGAAGTGCAGGGACTCACAGAGCAGAACCCATAGTAAACCACCCCCTTCTATTCTCATCAACTGGCACTTAAAATAACTAACTCTGAGACATTAGTAAGAGAAAGAATAAAAAGGTTCCATGTACTCACAGTTGAGCAGATTTACAGCAAACCGAACGAACCTGGCTGGATGACTTTCAGCAACAGACTGACTGACTGTCAACAGACTCAAGAGAGGGGAGGGGAAAAAAAACTCAGAACAGAGAGGCAGGGGTCTCTGAACTCAGAAGGAAGAGGGAACAATTGTTTGTTGCTGAATAGATTGACGGTCATGCCATCCCAGAAACACCCGTCCCAGCCAAACTGACTAAAGGCAGCATGCGAGGTTGCCATTACTCCAAAAGAAAAGAGTTATCTGTCTTTGGAAGGGAAGATCTGAATACACAACTCACCTTTTCTCTTCACTGCTCTGATGTCCAGGCTGCAGCCTTGATAGAGACAATAAGATGCCACGGAAGATCCTACGTATGTTGGCCGTCCCCAGTGTTCTTGACATTGCTTATTAACAGGGCCAAAATTTGCTGATATATTTGTTAATCACGTGGTGGGCATGGAAAGATGAGAAGCAGTTATGATTCCAGGTTCTGATCAGGATAAACACATTCCTGGTGAATACCAGCTTAGGTGTCATCCTGGAAGGTCTGTGTGCGAATCCTGAACAGGAGAACTAGCTAAATGGTTTCCTAAAGAAAACGAGTACAGAAAGTCAACAGGGAAGCACCACAAATTCATGCATGTTGTCGGTATTCGGCTTCTTCCCGGTCTCACCAACCTCTCTCTCCATCCAGGCAAATATTTCTGGCGGCTAACACGTAACAGACACCTGGTTTCCCTCCAGCCGGCTCAGATCCATCGTTTCTGGCGGGGTTTGCCTCTAAACCTCGACAGTGTGGACACCGTGTACGAGCGAACTCACGATCATAAGATTGTATTTTTCAAAGGTAGGAGAAAGTGTCTGCCCCTGTTAGGGATAATTCATTCACAGGCTTTGTCGAGTTCTTTTATTTCTCAATTGCATTTAAATCGCTTCAACCTGTGTCTCTAAAAAGGGGGGTACTGAAGGGTGCTCCTCCAGGGCCCAAATGGGTCCCCCCACCTTCCCAAAAGTACAGTGGTGCCTCGCTTAATGAGCGCACCGTTTAACGACGAATCCGCATAGCGACGCATTTTTTGCGATCGCATTGCGATGTTCTCAATGGCCGAAAATCGCATTGCGATGATCGGTAAGTGTTTTGCTTACTGATCTTTGCATTGCGATGTTTGCAGAACAGCTGATCAGTGGTTCCAAAATGGCTGCCGGATCAGCAAAATGGCCACCCGTAGCATTTTCACACCCTGCCCTTGCTTACCGGGCAGCGAAAATGGCGGCCGGACGGGGGAATCTTTGCTTACTGGTGAGTTTTTTCCCCATAGGAACGCATTAAATGGAGTTTAATGCGTTCCTATGGGGTTTCCTCCCCGTATAGCGACGAATCCGGATAGTGACGTTAATCCTGGAACAGATTAACGTCGCTATGTGGGGCACCACTGTAAATGGCTTTAATTTGTTCCAAAAAGCCCACTGCTGCCCTCTACAGGTGATGCTGTCATGTTTGTTCTCTGTGTGCTCAAAACTGTAATTTTATAAACAGCCACTAGGAACACAGGAGAGCTATTTTTTTAAAAAAATGTGCTTTTTTAAAAAAAAAAGTTTTGGGATAGATGAGGGTAGGAAAGGAAGTGGGAATGGGTGGATCCTAAACTTCTGGAAGTTGCCCGGCCCTGTGTAAATCAAAGAAGAACTGCAATTCCAATCAGCATTAGTGGCCAAACGAGGAGGTTGTGGCTTCATGAAGGCATATTCAAGTCTATTAGCTACTGATTCTAAGTGTCCAGACTACTTCACCCAAACGGACTGGATGTGTGTGTGACTGTTAAGAAACTGGGTGGATAGCTCAGTGGTTTAGGTCTCTGGCTGCAGAGACAGAGGTTGGGAGTTCAATTCCCCTACTGAGCCTCCTGGGAGAAAAGCTAGCCTGGGTAGCTTTGGGCAAGCTGCACAGAGTCCCAGGGCTCCCCCTAGAGGAAGGGAATGGTCAACCACTTCTGAGCATTCACTACCTGGAAAACTCTGAAAAAAGGGGTCACCATGAGTCGGAATTGACTTGATGGCACATGATTATCATTAAGAAAGAACTGAATAGGACGTTGCCAGGATCGTACCTCTTTTGTACAAATTGGAGATGCAGTACCAATTCCACGTCTCGGATAGGATGGGATCATGCTGGAAAAGAGGCAGAATGAGCAACTCTTAATGGTCAATCCTTTGGGTGCTGGAATTCAATCTGGCCCTTCCACGTTCATCCAGATTTCACTTTGGATCAAGCCAGTCTGGGTAGTCATTCAGGATCTGCTTAGCCCTCATCCTCAGGCTATGAGAACATAAGGAAGCTCCCTTATAGAGAGCCACATCCATATCAGTGGGGACAATCTGCGGGCTCCAGAGGTTGTTAGACTGCAGGTCCCATCCATCTTAGGCAGGCAGTGCAGTAGAGAGGGATGAGGGGAGGTGTAGTCAAACCACATCCAGAGAGCGGTTAGTCCATGTCTTCTGCAGTCGCTTGCTTTGCATGGCAGGCTTCTAATCTTCCTCCTCTGCCGCATCATCATCATCATCATCATCAAGGAGGCACTGTGGAGAATCAAACTCCCAACCTCTGACCCCACCACCAGACACCTATTCAACACTCAGACTTTTCGGCTCAAGTTCACTTGTGTTCTTTTCGTGGCTCCGTGCTGTGGCATAGCGCTAATGCAGTATCCGAGAATGCTCAGTTTGAGTTGATGACATCCTTAGCTTATGCCCTTGTCGAGTGGCCCTCGGGCAGATCTGCTGGATCACCATCCATCTTATTCATCCCCTGCTCCTATCTGGTCGCTTGTGTTTGCCAAGCGCCTGCCAGCAGATGCATGAACCTCCTGCGGTGTACAGTGTTGCTCAGACAAAACCAGCAATTGCTTGTGCTGCAGTTCATTCACCTGAAATAGAAGCCTCTGGCAAAACATAGCGGGTACCTTAAGAAATTATTGCTTTGTTTCTTCTTCTTTGTTGCTCCCCTGGGGGGGGGGAGGGAGAGAAAGCGGGGTGATGCTGGTGGGAGGGTCTTTGCCCTTATTTTGAAGATATTTTCCTGGGAACATCTCACACTTATGGAACAAGACATGTGGACTTTATTGCTAGAAAAGAGATAGTGAATATTTCAGACATTCATCAGTGCTGCCCTCTACTGGCTAAATGGAAAAACTTCATGGTATCCACAAGAATTGGCATTCTTATAACCATCTTCTCATTCTTCAACCTTGTGGGGACCACAAGACACAGGATCTTGTGGGACTGTGCAGCTGGCCCAAGGCCACACAGGCTGGCTCTTCTGAGATGCACAGTGGGGAATCAAACTCCCAACCTCTAGCTCAGCAGCCAGAAACTTAACTCCCTATTACTCATAATAGGCTTGCCAGACTCAAGTCTTACTTAGACCCATTGAGCACAAGGCTAAACAGGGTGTCTTGACTCACAGGAAGCACAGTGGGGAATTGAACTATCAACCTCTGACTCCACACAGATATCTAAGTCACTGAGCTATCCAGCCAGCTTATGACTGCATGGCGTCAAGTCAAATTTATGGGGACCCTTTGCCAGGGTTTTCCAGGAAAAGAATACTCAGAAATGGTATACCGTTCCTTTCCTGTAGGGGGCACCCTGGGACTGTGCAGCTTGCCCAAGGCCACACAGGCTGGCTCTTCTGGAAGGCACAACGGGGAATCAAACTCCCAACCTCTGGCTCCGGAGCCAGAGACCTAGGTCTCCAAGCTCTTACTCAAGCTAGGCTCAGTAAAATCAGGTCTTACTTAGACCCGTTGAACCCAAGGCTACATAGGCTGGCTACCCATTCTTCTGGGAGGCACAGGGGGGATCAAACTCCCAAACAACCCACCCAGGACGTCATAGGATGGAACCATCTTGTGTAGCCCAAATAACATTCCTTGCTACTCAACCACTCATCTCTTCTCATCAGGAGACAGATACTGGGTGTTTAAGGACAATAATGTGGAAGAGGGCTACCCCCGACCCATCTCAGATTTCGGCTTGCCTCCGGGAGGCATCGATGCTGCATTCTCCTGGGCTCCGAACGACAAGACATATTTCTTCAAGGACAATCTCTACTGGTGCTACGATGATCGTGAGAGGCGGATGCAACCAGGCTATCCTTCGGAGACCATGTTGTGGAAAGGTGTGCCTAGTCAGTTGGATGACGCCACACGGTGGTCGGATGGTGAGTATGCTGGTGAGGAAATTTTGTAGGGCAAAGGAGGCTGCTGATTTGGATTGGGGGAGAACACAGTGAGTTCTTCCTGGGTTTTAGTCCAAAATTTAAAGTATCTTTGGAGGCTCTGTTTTGAGGGCAGGGTTCAGCACCTTGGATAGTTCTTGTAAAGTTCAGACTAAAATCAGAACTGGCTCACTATGCCTACAAAATTGGGTACAATAGACCGTACTGTTCATGGGGTCAACCACCTTCGGATGAAGGTGCTATCTGGACACATACAAGGGGGGTCCCAGAGAATGACATTGGAGGTGTTTACATCAGTCTAGAACAGTAGTTCCCTACCTTGAGTCCCCAGATGTTCTTGGACTGCAACTCTTCAAAACCATTACCCCTCGCTGTGCTAGCCAAGGGTTCTGTGAGTTGCAGCCCAAGAACATGGGAGGACCCAAGGTTGGGGACCACTGGAGAAGACCCAACTAGAGTAAGTCCCAGTTCCATTCAAGCTGGGGCCACTGGAGTTGCTCATCTCATGGATCCCGTGGAATCCACAGAATTTATCTTAGCAATTGATTCAGTCGGTCTGCTCTCATTGGGATGAGTAATGAGATATAGCTGCTTCCACATCCTGCGTCTTCCATGGGCCAACTGGGGTAACCTCCATGAGGTCATCACCCAGACCAACCTTGTGTCTTCTCTCTGCAGGGTCAACCTACTTCTTCAAGGGCAAAGAATACTGGAAAGTCCTGGACAGTGAGCTGGAAGTCGAGCCGGGTTACCCACAATCCATTGCCAGAGACTGGCTGGTGTGCAGCGACATGCAGGCAGATGCGCCAGAACCGGCGGAGAGCAGCAGGACTGGGTTGCATTCGAAACAGGGCCACCACGACCAGAGTCGGTCCAAAAGCGAGGTCTGCTCCTGCACCTCCTCATCTCCCGACCCTTTCTTGTCCTCTTCGGTGCTCAGAGTCTACCTGGGCCTCTTCTTGGCCTTCCTTTGGACCGCGGCGCCGGTTCGCAGACCACGATGACAGAACGCGTCGTACGGACAGTGGAGGCTGAAACAATTCAAGGATGCAAAAGAGGGGAGGGCGGGGTGAGCAGGCGGACGGGCAGACTGGCGGTCCGATCACAGGATGCGACACTGTTAAACGAATGAATGACACACAACATTCATAGCGACGTTGGCAGCTTGGTTTGCAAATTCTCCATGAGAAGTTTACCACGTTCTTCTTTTTCTCTCTCGGTTTGTCCTTTCCTTCACGCTGGTTTGTTTTCATTTTGTTTCCAGCTGGCGAGCTTTGACACCAGACACTGTGGGTTTCTCCCCCCTACGTATCCTGGCCTTCTCACTCCCTCACCCCACATCACTGGGAAAAAATAAATAAACATTCTGACTCATCTCACAGTCAGAAATATTCCTTAGGGGTTCTCATCTTGTTGTGATTCTTTCACACGTGTGTATTTTTGGAGAAAGGTAAGAGGTGACGGATCTGCCTTGATTTCTATTGATGGAAGCCAGCAGGATAGTGGGAGAGCTTCCTCAAAGCGCAGAGACAGAGTATCATGAAAGGGCAACAAATTATTTGTGACTTATTATATTACAATTACAGTAGGACTGCTCCCATCCGCTGGATCAGCATCTAAGGATTCATTTATCTACTGCTGAAAATATTAAATTTAGAAACCCAGAAATATCTATTTATATGGTGCATTTACAAGAACTAGACACTAGAGGGAGCCAGAGACAATGTTACATACAGTAGGACCTCTATATCCACGGGCAGGTTTGATTCCTTTTTCAGCATGGATGCTGAAAAAAGCAGATTATAGCAAGTGCTATTATACGAGTGGATGCTATATATAGTATGATTTCTGGCTCCCTCTTGTGGCCAGTTCTGGTAATTTCATATTTTATATATATATAAAATTACCAGAACTGGCCACAAGAGGGAGCCAGAGATCATATTATTTTTAATATTTTCAGACTGTGGATAATCAGCCAACAGTGATCCTGCAGATAAGGGAGTCGTACTGTATAGCATTTGGTATTTTTGTGTTTTTTGGCATCTGCAGGGTGACTTGGAACTGACCCATCGTGGCTACCGCAGTCCTCCTACCTTACATTTTTGTGTCCAGGATTAGCAAAAGGTGGTTTTTGGGATTATGTGTCAAAATAACTTGACCTTTCATAGATAGTGTAACCCTTACCATGGACTGGGGCAGCTGAAACCTGGTGGCTCCTATTCCACGGAGGCGGTGAATCCGCCCCGGGTTTTTGTCTGAAATTTACAGGAGCCATCTGGTAGGTTGAGCCCTGTTCTGTAAAGAGGCTCCGCACCTTTGGTCATTGATGTACAGTTCCAACTAAAACTCGAGAGCGTGTACTTCCCTCGTGGAATTTGAGTTGACCACTCCCGAGAAATAGCTACTCTTTACTACTCGGACTCAGGTGGAAAAATGTCTTGGGCAGCTCAATCAGCCAACTGTCTTGGGGGGGGGGCAAGATTGCCAAATGAATAGGAATCCTGTGGTTGGAGGGTCAAGGTGGAGCCGAAACCCTGCCAGAGCAGCTGCGGTGTAGAAAGAGGCAGCAACCGTACTGAAGTATGTTGGGGGCATGGATGTGCCAGATATGTCAGCAGAAATTGTCCCCTTGTGGTTTTGGGGGCACCCCTGAAACAAGCCAAGGTGGCTGAGAACCAGCTGAGCTGAAAGTAGACCAGCTGAATGTGTATGAAAGCCAAACCCCTCCAAGACAGGTTAGAGGCAACTCTTCAGGATTCTGGGAGAAAAGCTGGACAGGAATGAAATGAATCGGTAAACAGCCGGTTGACCTCAAGTTTGGTTTCCCACCATATCTTGTTGAAGAAAAGCCAGGCTGCAAGGTCTTGGACCACCCACACGATGCTGGAGTGTCCTCAGAAGAAGGGAATGGTGAACCAGTTCTAAGTACTGTAGACCTAAGGGAGCAATGAAGGTTGGAATCGGGTTGGTGATACATCCTTGTCGTCATTGCAGCAGTCAGCTTTATTACTTTCAATTAACTTTGTGTCGACTCAGGGCTCACACCAGACAAGCTGTGCGGCTTGGATCCGTGTGGGCTGAAACAAGGGAGCAATGAAGGTTGGAATCGGGTTGATGATACATCCTTGTCATCATCGCAGCAGTCAGCTTTATTACTTTCAATCAACTTTGTGTTGGCTCAGGGCTCACCCAGACGAGCTGTGCGGCTTGGATTCGTGTGGGCTGGAAGTGTGTTCCTTTTCTCCAGTTGACCTGGATGTACTCACACCAAACCTCCTTACCTGCACTCAGCTTTCATTCCATGTAATCCAGAGAAAATGTCGACACCATAACATGTCCCCTCCTTTCCTCCCCTTTCCTTCTTCCACTTCACCCCATGATTTCCCCATTTCCACCTTGTCCCCAACCCTTGTCATTTCCCTCCTGTAATGCTGTCTGTTTTGTGAGGAAGGAGGTGTGGGTTTTTTCTTAACCTGGAGAAAAGTCTGCAGAGTTTGAAGCAGAGCTTAGAATTGCTAGCACAGGGTGGGGCGGGGGCTGAAATAGCACAAGATTTGAAGCAGAGAGCGAAAGGCAGCTGTGCTGGGGAATAAAGCCCTACTATCCCCAACCCCATTGAGAAAGTCGGTCAGAAGCAGCCTTGCTTGCTATGGATGTCTGGTTCTGACCCTTAAAGACGTTCAGAAAACAAAATTAAAAGCTGCCAGACGAGGGCAGCAAAGACAATAAAACTGAGAACAGGAAGGGAGAAAAAGCCTGAAGTGTGACACCCGTGTTTGATGCATCATCCAGTTTGCATATATGCAAATATCTCAAGTTCAGGTGTAGACTGTACGGTTTGTCTGCCAACAGTCTTGTGATCAGTCTTTGGTGGGCCTCTTGGGCTTCCCAAAACAAAACAAAAAAAGCAGAAGGAGCCACATCAAGGGTGGCCATTTCCCCATGGCTGACAGAACAAAGGAAAAATGAATGCCTGGGCAAAATACAGCATCATCGTTATCACAGAACTCTATGGATCATGGAGTCCAGCCCTTGTCAAGGAGGCACAGTGAGGAATTGAAGTCCCATCTTCTGGCTCTGCAGCCAGAGACCTAAGCCATTCAGCTATTTAGCCGTTAAAAAAGGCCCTGATTTGCATGAAATTCCATCAGTGTTGATGTGAATAGAGAAAGACTTACTTTCTAGAAATGCAAGAGCATTTCTTCAGGGATATAATGGCCAGGGCTCCGGGGATTGTGATAACATCTCTTGGAGGAGCAGTACCCAAAGTAGAAGCAGGTTGGTTTGTACATGAAAGGGTAGCTATAAAGCCTGGTACTGCGGTTCACAAGGTCAGCGCATAGGTATTATTTTGCTAAATGGATTACAACTGGCCTAAGGACAGGTCCCTCTGATTCTCTCCTTAGCTGCCTCCTTTCCTGGTTGACGTTGATCCCATGCTCCTGTTTGGAACAAGGCGCTGTGGAGTACCAGCATCACACAAAACTCCGAAGCCTTCTTGTGGTGCAAGCTGTGCTGGGGTTTTGGGATTTTTGTGGACTACAAATCCCATCATCCGCCATTCTGAGGCTGCTGACTGACGGGTACACAGTTTACAGACCATGGCTCGCCTGTAAATAAAGTTCTCAGCACTAGAAGACTTTGAGGTCTAACTCGGCCTAGCTCCACCCCAGCTTCCTGTCCCAGTGGTAGCTGGGAGCTTCCTTTCTGAACAGGAAGTTAAGCATTGCTAGGCCTAGCTAAACCTCAAAGCCTTTAGGTAAGGCATTTTCTCCAAGGTGAGCCAGTTGGGTGTAAGCCAAGCAAAACTCCCAGAAGGAAGGGATTATGGGATTTGTAGTCCATGAAATCCCCAAATCCCATCTCTACAGATGGGAGTCCCAGAAAAAAGCACCCCTTATTTGTGCCTTCCATGACTTCATAATGGGTTGACTCCTGAAATCTCTGGGACTTGAAAGGGCTGAAAGCTTGACAACAATAATGAAAGGTGAGAAAGCTTTGTTCGTCCAGATATTCTTGGACTTCAGCTCCCAGAGTCTCCAACCACTGTGACCGGTGACAAGAGATTGTGGGAATTGTTGGGAAAACATCTGGAGGACCAGAAGCTGCCTTTAAGTGGATGACTTTCCAAGACTGAATGAAGATGCGCAGTGGCTCCCATTACACCATGTGATCGCTATCTTGCATCTTGGAAGGTGTGCAAGTCAACAGATGGAGCCAGTACAGTGGGGTCTCTACTTAAGAACGTCCCTACTTAAGAACAATCCAACTTAAGAACAGCTCCATTTGCTAAATTTTGCTTCTACTTGAGAACAGAAATCCAAGATAAGAACAGGAAAAAAAACCTTTCCTGCTCTTTTTTTAACCTTAGGTCATCTTAGGTTAAAAAAAAATTCTCCCCATAGTGGTAGAGTACGTATTAACCAGCTTTGGTTAATGTACGAACGGACCTCTACATAACAAAAAAACAGCCAGAACGGATTAATTGGTTTTCAGTCCATTCCTATGGGAAATTTTGCTTCAACTTAAGAACATTTCAACTTAAGAACACCATTCCAAAACGGATTAAGTTCTTAAGTAGAGGTTCCACTGTAGTTTCTATGGACGGAAAAGAGCAGATACGGATTAAATGGTTTTCAATGCATTCCTATGGGAAATGCAGATTCAACATAAGAACTTTTCAACTTGAGAACCACCTTCCAATACGGATTAAGTTCTTAAGTAGAGACCCCACTGTATGATCTCAGTTGCTTTGGACCTCCAGGGAAGAACCTATGAGTGGAAATGCAGGAGGAGAACCATGATTCCTCATGGAGAGAGGCTTATGGGACAGTAGAACACCGTGGATCACTGGAGGTGTTAAAGCAGAGGAAAGACACCATGTGCTAAGTGATCCTGAATCATGGCCAACAGAAAAGGAGCTATGGTTGAGCCATCTCTGAAGGATCACCACTTGCCCAACCCAGCTGTGGTGGCATCATCTTTCTTTGCATCAGGCAGGGGATTGAATGAGACTTTTGCTGCTCCATGACAGCTGGAGATGTTATGCCATGAACCTGGGACATACCTGGGACGTAGATACACCAAGGTGTGTATGTATGACGCATGCTCAATGACTACACAACAGCCAACGTTCAAAAGGAAACCTTCCCCAGAACTGGGAATAGTCAATCAATAACTCTCCGAATTAGCAGTGCCCGAGTGCAGCTGGCTAGCTTCCTGGAAAATCACAAGTCAGGCCATTAACGGGAGCCAAATGATAAGATGTGTTTGCACCCTTTGGTGATTGCTGTATCAGAGGGAGAGTGCGTCTCTCGGAGGAAAGACAATACAACAAAGCCTGATTCCATGAAGTGGGGCATGCT